CTCAAACGGTTGTTTGCGATCGCTGGATTTCCGAAGACGCTGCTCTACAAACCTGGTCTGTGGACGCTAACTGTGTGTGCGTGCCACTGGATCCTCAAGGATCCTGAGCGTTCGCTCCTTATTCGCCGTGGAGTCCCTGACTACGCTGCTCAGTTTGACGACTTGGACGCGGAAGATACCGTCCGCACTCAATGGGCTGCGGCGCACAGCGACGATGACATTCTGGCCACAGTCTCTTCATTCATGCATCCGTTTCTTATGATGCCTGAACGCAGAGCTCGGAATGTGATTCCCTTATCTGTGGCGACTCAAGCGTGAACTCCTTTAGTCAGTTGTTGTTCTCCACGTACTCTGGATGTCGGAGTCACTCTCCTTTCTCTAAGTCTCAGGAAGTAAGCCCGTTAATACTAACCGTTTTCCACTTCTCGTTCTCGTATCTTGACTTCTTTACCACTTAATGATAATCTTCGTCATGACACTTACCCGCACATTGGTTGTTGTCTGAGATCCTCACTGGATCCTGGAAACGACCACTCACATTTCTCAAAATCAATAACATCCTGTTCACACATACAAGTTCCTTGGGCCGGGCTATCTTCGACACTAGTTCCCACGGTGATTGTCCCCAGCTTGCATAGCTTGGAAACGTGCTCTTGCCTTAGCACCCTGGTTGAACTCGTATAACAATGCCCCACAATTAAACTGGACCAGAGGTATCCGTTCTGGATCCGTGTATCATTTCCACTTGATCAAGTATTCCCGAGAACGCTTAGAGGTCCTCGTACGTTTGATCCACCTGAGATCTAGGATCTCTTCGACCTCGTACTCATCCTGGGCAGTGTCTGGCTCCCAACTATCCTCGGGTATCAAAGCTGCGTCAAATTCGTCATCGTCTGAGACTTGTATCTCTGAGGTCGGTCGTTCAGGGAATAGAGCTCTCGGTTTGAGGCGGCTAATGTGGACCCATGGGTTCACCCGGTAGCCTGTGCCTGGGATCTTGAGCTTGACTCTGAAGTCGTCATGAATTTCGTCGATTCGGAAAGGTCCATGCCACAGGTGAGCTAGCTTGCGACTCAATCCTGTGCGAACTTTGGGAATATACAACCACACCGAATCACCGGCTTCGAAACCTGCCTTTACACGATCCGAGAGTTCTCTCCACTTACGAGTCTGAGCAGCAGATCTCGCACGCTTCGACTTCTTCTGTAAGTCTTCAGCGCACGCAAGGGCATAGCTATAATCTCGTTGCATCTTCCGACGCCACTCCAAAGCCGTTCGTTCTTGGACTGTGGATGGCTTCGGGCCCAGCATCGCAGAGATGGTTTCCTGGGCGTCCCAGCCATGGACCAGGTAAAACGGGGTATCCAGTCTCGCAGCATCGAACGAGGTGTTCAAGGCGAACATACGCCGTTCTGCATGCTCGTCCCAGTCACCCTGGTCAACTTCAGCGACGTACGCTGTGACACTTCGCATTACAGTTTGGACTGAGCGTTCCTGCTGTCCATTGGCCTGAGGCCGGTATCCTAGCGTCGCACGTTGCTTACTCTTCAGAAGGTCTCTGAATCTAGCGAAGACCTTGCTCATGAAGCGAGGATCCTGATCATGTCTGATCATTGAACTTGCCCCAAATCTTCTGAAGACACACTCTTCGTATGCCTCAGCAACATCCTGTGCTTCGGTATTCCGCATGGGCTTACACATGACATATCCTGAGAATTAATCTTGTATAGCAACAAGTATGTCTTTCCACGATCGGACTCAGGTAGCTCAGTGACAAAATCCACAGAGACCACCTCGAACGGATATCTCGGTTCGATATTGCCAGGTGACGGGCCAACGACCGGTGGTCGCCCCTTGGCTGACGCACAATCCACACACCCTCTCACAAATTTCTGTACACCAGCGTACATCCCGATCCAGTAAAACGCTGACCGCAAACGCTCAAACGTCCAGTTCCTTGATGGCCGCCTTGAAAGTCTTCGTGTAAGTAGTGTTACATGTCAGCACGTAAAGTCTCTGGGACCACCAGTCTTAGTTCCGACTGTTTGTTACGGGGCCTCTCAGGAGTGGGTGTGCTCAGCCTGTAAAGGACTTCTCGCGAATCCAACACAAACTGATCAGAGACCTTCGCAATCTTCTTAACCTGATTCCGTGGGAGATCTGACACGTCTCCTTTTAGGACCTTTTCAATTGCTGGATTCACAGATCTTCGTCCTGGTGAACCTTGATTCTCCTCCAACGTTCATCCTGGTATCCAGATTGGTCCACAGGGGTCCGGGACTTGTGTCTGTGATCTCGTTATCACCATCAATGTCTCAGCCGCGGTGGCTAAAGACTCCGGTATTCTGGCATCAGGACTATCCGCTCCAAGTTCGGCTTGGTCTGAACGAACCGCATCAGTCGCAGGGGTACTTGGGATTTCTGAAGGCTTCATGATCTTTTCAGGGATTCTGGATACGAGACGTAGATTCACTATCTCATCGGGGTCATCGAGCTCCCAGGATTCTCCAAGCACGAGACTCTTAGAGGTCAAGTAGTCAGCCGCTTGGTTAAATTCACGTTTAACATGAATTAACTTCACAGACATAAAATTCTTCCTGAGATCCTCATACTCAGCCAAGCGTCGTTGCAGGTTAGGCTGTTTGCAATTGATCAGACTCTGAGCCTGTTGGACGACGATGCGGGAATCACCGACTGCCACAAGCTCCTTGACATCATATTTCATAGCGAGCTTAGCCCCAGAATCAAGCCATGGTATTCCGCATCATTGACCGTTACACCTTCCTGGATGTGTCCTTCGGTCTTCACCACCTGCCACCTTGGCAGCTGTATGCATCCACAACTTCCTCGGCGAGTAGAAACCTTCGCAGCGCCATCAAAACTCAGAATGTAGTCTTGGTAACTCGCGTCCAACATTTCCAGACTCACTGGTGGCATCACTTCCAGACGCCCCTTGGCGGGAATCAGGGTCTCTGCAACTTTATCTAAATGTTCCCTGGGAGTAATACAGGACCGAAGGATGGCCGCAAGGCCGTCCTCATCTTTTTAAGTCCGATGAATTTCCAGTGTCCATCTCGATAGTTCCAGCCCCCACTTCAGATGCCGTCCGTCTGTAGTGTTGGATTGTAGTAATCACTGTAGTTCAGAGTAGCGCGTATACACCACAACCGGGAATTCTGATCCGTGAGGTCTGAAAATTTCCAGAGTCCGCAAGATTGCGAGCACTTCCTTCTCAGCTATGTCGTAACGTAGCTCTGATTCCTTCAACACTCTGCCAGTAAATCGTACTGGGTGTATGAGTCCTTCATGCTCCTGACCCAAAACTGCACACGCCGCCCACGGGTTAGCATGCGGAATAATCACGAAAGGCTTGGTTTTATCTGGATGTCGCAGCAGCGGGGTCGACACGATCTTGCGTTTCAGTATCTCGAAGGACTCCTTTGCGGCTTTCAGGTTCCGTCCAGCACGTACGCGCTCTTCGTCCAGTTCGTAGAGCGCAGCGGTGACTACTGGTAAGTCTTCAATAAACTTATTGTAGTAATTCAGACTTCCTAACAAGGACTGTACTCCCTTGTACGTTGACGGAAAAGGTAAGTTTTCTATGCCTTTGACAATCTTCGGCAAGGCGCTGATTCCGTCCGCACTCATTCCATGAGAGAGGAATGGGATGGTCAACTTTCCAAATTCACTTTTCGGTAAGCTCACAGAGATATTCCAGTATCGTAGTCTGTATAACAACGCCTCCAGATCCTCATATAGTAGGTCCCAGATCGACGCCCCATGACCGATATCATCAATATACGAGCTTCTTCCCAAGACCGGACCCATTTGTGATGGAGCCGGGATATTGCGTCGGAATACAGTCATGTCCAATGAAGGGATCCCTGAATCCCTCATATCCAACTCAGTTTTCAGGGCTTCTTGAGGCTCGAAATCCAGGAACTCAAGAACTTCTAGGTCAACCATCGCTTCCTCTTCAGGAGGTAGACGGGCGAATCCCCACAGACAGCTGTTGATGATGCTCTGATAAATTAACGGCGCATTCTTCAATCCATAAGGCATTCTGAGCCATTGAAAGTGGCTGAACGGGAAGACAAACGCAGAGATCAACTTCGCACGTTCAGTCATTCGCACCGCCCCGAATCCACTTGCCATGTCGAGACTCATAAACCACATCGCGGATTTGAAATCTACCAGCAGATCATCAATCAAGGGTAGAGGATAGCGGGATAGTTTGATGAGCAAATTCAGGAGTCGGTAGTCAATACACATCCGGATGTCTATGCCGTTTTTCTTCAGCACAATCACAATAGGTGGTGGCCACTCGGACTCTGAATGCTCGATGAGCTCCGCCTCCAGCAACTTCTTCAAGAGTTCAAACACCGTCAGTCAGCCAGAAAGGTGCGGCAATCTGTCTCGCACGTAAAGCTACTGGTTTTGCTTTGCCAACGTTGATATCACACACTACGCCCCTAGCCGGGGCTGGAGCTGCGTTGCCATCTCCCAGGAAGATGCTGCGATGGCGTTTCAGGATCCCTATCATCTTGGCTTCCATCTCTGGAGTTGTGTCCCCTGGAACCCCGACATTAGCTTCGTCGATGCTACATTCTGGGGTCAGCTCTTCAATTTCCGAGAGCATGATAAGTTGGTCTCGCAACTGCACCATCAAATCACTTCCTTCTCTGAGATATACAGCAGGTTCCAGATCCAGCTCTTCGACAGAGACTCGCATAACCCGAGCATATTCTGCTTCCAGTCTTTGTACCGGTGTCGAACAGCTTGTCTGCGACTGGACATCCGCTGACGACTCGCTAACGCAGCGACACCCTCTGAATCCAGGGTTTTAACTTCTGGACTCAAGTCAGAATGAGTATGTTCTACCGGCTCAGGACGAGTCCCAGGTTCCTCGGGGTCTCTCGTGACCGTGTTCATGACGACCGCTGAATGCCCAGTGATCTTGAGTGTCATATCCAACGGTTTCAGCTTTTCTTGTAACTTCGCCATCTTCACTTCAGAGGCTTGGGACTGCGGACGCATTAAGTGCTTAGTAGGCCACTGATATCTCTGAGTCGGGGTGCACGGAGGCTCCCTCTCTCTGAGAATCTGCTCCAATCGTTCAGTACGCATCCTTGCCTGGCGTGACACGGTACACTCATGGATCAATTGTTGCCATTCCTCATACCGCGCCTTCCCAGGACGAACGAATCCAGGCTGTCCTGGGAACTGTCCATACTCCACAATACGCGCAACAGCGGTCCTAGTATCGATCCAGACATTCTGGTCTGAAACATTGACAACCTTGACGGCAGTGGCCCAGGATCTGGTGGAATACAGGGCCTTGGTCACCCGGTTTTTGCCTCTCCCAGCCCACACCAACTCGCGTTGGGGGTTGGACTGGCCATACCGGATTCGTACGATAGCATCCTGACCAGGACGCAAGTGTATGCTTTCCTCTGGGCACACCGGGAGATCCATATCACGGGACTTGGGATTATCATCATACATAACCACAGTCTCTTCGTCAGGCAGCTTGACTAAGCCTTCTCGTATGCAGAGTCGGACACCTGCCGAATGCATAAAGATCATGCCGAGCAGGACATCAACACCTTCTCCAATATTGCCAACCCAGATGTTCAGGACGTACACCACACTCCATCCGAGGGTTATCTTCACTCGGGCATGAGTAGTAATGTAAGTGGTCACTCCTCCCAAACCAGAAACTTTGATTTGACGGTGTGTCCGGAGCTTGAGTTTGAGTCTACGCGCTAGATCAAGACTCATAATGCTCACGGACGCACCAGTGTCTAATAAGATTCTGGTTCTGGAGTCATTCACAGCTCCATGTATCGTCGCCAATCCATGCATGTCTCCATGTTCGTGATCTTCCCACCATCCGTACCTCTGACCCGATTTCAACGGTACTTCCAATGGATCCTGAGATTCGGGCTCAGAGATCTCTGTGACACGAAGTGATTTGGAATTTCTCATGGAAGCAAGGATTTGTATGGATCCAGGAATTAGGTAATGGGTACAGGATTGCCAAGTGTGTATGTGTGGAAAGAAAAGTGACTGTGGGTTGTGTGAAAAGGATTGACATGGATAAGAGCTAAGGATGGGCCTCAGAGTCTAAAACATTATGATGCTCAGTTCAGACTCGTCCTCATCCTGACTCCGGGTAATAATGATTGTGGAAAGTGTTGGTGCAAACGTATTGTACCAAACACCCCGTATTGCCTTAGTTCAACCCAGAAAACGTCAGTCCCGAGCTCAAGAGCATCACTAACAAGGACTATTTACGCGCGAGAATCACGATCCGAGAAGAGATGGACAACAGATGGAGTTGTAATATGTTCTACAAGCAGTGTGGGACATTATACCCCAAAGTCCAACCAAATATCTCAGAATCCCGTGATTAATTCCTGAATCTCGACTGATAACCCCTGAGTCCCGAAGGAAATCCCTGAATCCAGACGTCAAAGTGTCTAGAATCAAGAACATCTACAA